CCCATGGTCAACGACATGGGAGTCCAGCAACATAGCCATTATGCCAACTGCTGGTCCCTCCTTTTTTTTTTTAAGAATTATTTTTATTGGGACCAGCAAGTGGCGTGGTGGTTAAGGGGACTGGACTCTCACATGAGCGACCACAGTTCAAATCCTGGACCTGGAGGCTTGCTTTCTCATTTCCTCTCTCGCTCTCACTGTCCCTCACTGGTCAAATTAAAATTTAATAAATAAAGTTAACATTATTTTTATTAACTTTATTTCATTGTAATTTGACCAGAGAGGGACAGAGTGAGAGAGGGAGAGAGGGAGAAAGCGAGCTGCCAGGTCTAGAGCTTGAACCACAGATGGCCATGTGGAAGTCCAGTGCTCTGAACCACCACGCCACCTGCCGGCCCCCCTAATTCTCCTTTTACTAGCGTATCCATTAGTAATGTATCAATCATCGTAGTAATTTATCAATCAACTATCCAGTAGTTAATTTATACATATGCCCAGTTCCCACTGAATTACTTGTGTGCCACGGTCTCTAAGAGCAGGGAGATATGAGTGACCTGCAGTCCCTGCCCTGATCACAAACACGGTGGAACGGTTAGGACAGATGCACACACACCTGTGAGAAGGGCTTGAACCAAGTGGGGCCCAGACACACACAGGTGGGGAGGTCCCATGGGCAGGAAAGGTGGCTTCCCAGGTGAAGCACCTGCTGAGCTGGGCAGTGGGAACTCAGTGGCCTTCGGGAGATGATGAGGATTGAATGGCAAGGACTGAATAGGGACGTACAACGGAGCAGGAAGGACGTGATCCTAGCTAAGCAGGACAGGGAGGTGGGCTGCTCCATGTGCCTTTGGGTGGGAGCCAGGCCAACGGTACAAAGAATCTTGATCTCATAGCTCCAGAGTGCATTGCACCTGCCCTTGGGGGAAGACAGATACACACACACACACACACACACACACACACACACACAGAAACACTGCAAGGGATGTGTTTTCTCGTGGCCACGGCAACCCAGTGGGTAAGGGAGCGACCTGAGATCAGAAGTTTCGAAATGGGTCGGGACAACAGAAAGGCTCTTCTTAGCAGCTGTGGCCCATGAAGGGCCTGAAGGAAGCGAGAGGAGGACGTGCCCCAGAGATGAGAAGTCCTGTTGCCAAGAGGACCAGTGGCTGAGGGCCCTGCAGGAAGGGGCGAAGCTCCCGGAAGTCTACGTGAGGAAGGGGCGGTGTGACAACCCTGGCGTCTCACTCCCCAGAACGCGTTCGGCTTCTCCCCAAGCAGGTCTACATCCTCGCTTCCCCGGCAGCCCTGCAGATGCGTCCTGAAACGCAGAAGAGTATCTCCCTGCCGCCCCAGACTGAGGCCTACAACCCGGCGGCGTCCGCCCCGCCTACTCCGAGCTCTGCGGCGCTCGCAGGACAAGTTGCTCCTTCCGCCCTATGGTCCCCACCGCCGAGCACCCCACTGCCATGGCCCCGGCGGGATCTCGAACTCGCGAACCCGCTAACAGAGGTCCGACCTGACCCAGGCAGCTCCGGGAGCTGGTGCACACGAGCCGCAGGCACCTGTGATAATCGCAACAACCAACCCACGTGGGCAGGGATGGACTCGCCTCGGGCACAAAACCCCACCCATCGCAGCGCGCTCTGAGAAGCCGCGCCTTGGGCCAGGTGGGGTCGCCGCTGGGCCTGAATCCCAGAGGGAGCCGCGCCCCAGGGCCTGGAGAGAACCGAGCCCAGCTCCGGGGACGCTGCGGACCGGAGGAGAGCGGGCCACCGGAGGCAGGGGCCCAGGCGTTCTTTCCAGACCGCTGGGAGAGAGGCCTCGGAGGGCAGTCCTCCTCCGCCCTGCCGGGGACCTTCGGGGTCGGGCCTATCCCGCCCATTCCAGACCCCAGGAGCAGCGGGCTCCCCGTCTGCTGGCCACGCCCAGGCGGCAAGCGGAGGGGACCGTCCAGGCTCAGCCCCCGCACGTGTGTGCCCGACCACTCCAATCAGGCAGGGTAGGGTGGGAGAGAGCTCCTGGGCCTCGGGATTCAGGAGTCCGATCCAGGCTGGGGTTCCGTGCTGTGCGCACCGGGGCAATGACTCACCCTCTTGTGCCCTCATGCGTCCAGCTGGGACATGAGCGACCGGTTTGAATGGCTGTGAGGACTACATCTACCTCTGATCGCTCCGCTCCGGCTCCGGGACGGCATGTGCCCAGGGCTCGGTCACCAGAGCTGCTGAGTTCCCACATAGCCTGACACACGCATAGGAACCTCCTCAGCCTGGAGAAGGGACAGGGTTAGAGAGACCCCCACACACCCACAGGAAAACGTCCAGAGAAGAGGCCTGGCATGCAGTCACACTGCTCTGCCTGCAGAGGCCCTGTTTTCAGCCTTCCCAGCTGAGTTCTGCCCAGCAGGCTACAGAGGGAACGAACAGTAAAAAAGCAGGCATTTGTCTGTATTAAGAAGTGTTTACAGAAGTGAGCAGGTGGCAAAGCACTGGACCACATGGCGAACTGTGCAGTTCAAGTCCCAGACCCGGTGGTTTGAAAACCACACCAAGACTGTGTGCAGGTATGCCCAAAAACCCAAGTTGAGAACAGAGGAGAAGGGATTGTGGTGTGGCAATTGCCCTGGGAGGTGATTTTTCACTTTCCACACTCTCTCTTGTCTCTCTCTTGTCTCTCTCTAGCAAGTGCACATGCTCTATGGTAACAACCTTAAAAAAAGAAAATGTTTACTAACCATCCTTTCATTCACTAGAAATGTCTGGGATTCTTCTCTCAGGGCGTGATTCCTGAGGGACACTGGACAGACTCTGAAGGCTGTTTTTGAAGCCACTGACCTTGCACATCTAGGGATGTGCATTGCTTATCAGAACCTCTGGGACCCTGCCCGTAGTGTCTGATTTCTTATCTACCTCAACACGAGAAACCTGGTGTGAGGCACTGAGACCTGCAGGGAACTCGGACCTGGGCTGGGTGACGCTCAGCGAAGAGCTGATGGGCCACCAGCTGGTGAGCCTTTGCTGGGTGGGCCCAGTTCAAAGCCTGGAGGGAGTAGAAGGAATCAGAGAGAAAGCTGCAGGGTCCAGCCTGTTCCCTCTTTGGCCTGATGCGCAGAACTCAGCAGGGTCCAGCATCCACACTTTCTTCCCCTTCGGGACCCAGCACAGCAAAGGAAACACAGTCCCAGTGGAGAGGGAGGAAGACTGTGGCCCAGTGGCAACTAAACACCAGTCATACCTGGACTGCCTCCTCTGCACTGCTTCGCCACTGCCACAGCGCCCTGCTCCAGGCCCTACCTGCTGCCCTATGAGGAGCACAGATGCATCCTCCTCTAGGGCATTATTGCCTTGAGGAAAGGTATAAACCAGGATGATTTTAGCCTGCCCAGAGGTAAAATGAAAGAAATGCTTGACCTTGCCTGATACACAGTGGGAGCCTCACAGGAGCATTCTCCTACCCTCCAGGATGGGCCGCAGACAGGAGGACTATGCACACATGTACACACACACACACTCCTGCTCACACACAGAAGCCAGGAGAATGGACAAGTCGTGGGTGTGGTGGGCACAGAAAGGCCAGTCAACAGGACAGTGTCCCTCCTGCCTGTCCCCAGCAGGCAGTCTTCCTCCCCAAGGTAGCCACCAGTGGCTCACGAGAATCTCTTCAGAGGAGCACCCTCCGCAGTAAGCCCAGGTCAGAGACCCCTGTTCCTTGTCAGCCATCCCCACTTAGTGTCTGGTCAAGGCCAAGTACCCTTCATTTGGTGGGCACAACCATGGTGGTGCTGTTGCTGTGGGCCATTGGCTTCCTCAGGAGGCCTCCTTTGTCTCTCCCTGGACTCTCCTCTCCCAGCACCCTAGAGTTCCAGACTTGGAACCACATGTGAGGCCCAGGTTCAACTCCAGGTCCAACCTGAAGTCCAGGCACGATGTGGGGCACCTGTACTCCCTGTGACAGGAGATGGGAGACTGAGGCAGGAGGAGCAGGAGTTCAGGACTGACCGTGGTGTGACCCTGTCTGAAAGAGCCAGGCATGGTGGCACATGCCTGTAGTTAGCGGGTAAGCAGAGGAAGGAGGATGGTGGCAAGACTATCAAACAGTAAACAACTCAAGAAGGAACAACCAAATAGAGAGGCCTCGGGACACTCACCTATAGTGGGCCAAGTTTGGCAGAAGCTCACAAGGCAGGCATGGGGTCTACAGAGGAAGGCAGCCCACAACTCATTCTGGCTCCCTTCCTCCAGCTGTGAGGTAGACAGGAAGCCCAGGCCCTGATGGGGGCAGGGGTAAAAAAGTGGGGACAGGGTCTCGTCAGAGGGCAAGCAATCCCAAGGCCCCCACCGGCCCTCTCAGTGGACACCCAGCCCAAGTAAACGCAGTGGGACACTGAGCAAACAGAGCCTGCAGGTCAGTGCCCAACTCCTGGTCTGCTATCCCCAGGGCACCTCCAAGCAGAAGTCCCAGAACTTCCACAAAGATCCCAGAAATGCCTACCCCCTCCAGCACCCCTCTGGGCCCCTCTCAGGATCTAGGTGAGATACTGACGCTGAAAGCTCACCAGCCTCTCCTGAAGGGTCTGAGGCCCTACACATCCCTCCCTCTAGGCTTCTTCTTCAGGGCATAGGTCTGGCACCTGGTCAGCCCTGCTGTGGCAGGTGAGCTGTCACCTTAAGAGCACAGTGGGGAGGGGAGCTGCGGGAGGCTCCAGGAGTCTGACCAGTTCCCTCCAGCCCTCAGGTGTTCTTGCCCTGGGTGGGGCCACTGGGTTTAAATGGCTGGAACCAACCTGGGCGGTCCTCAGCCCCACACCTTCCTCAGACCTGCTGTCTACACCAGACTCAGGTGAGTGCCCAGGTGAGCTCTCAGGTGAGCAGTAAGCAGGCATCTGCTAGGATTCTGGGGCTGCTAGGGGTAAGGGGGTGGACCAGGGACCTCTCTGAGGAAGGGTGGTGGGTACCAGAGGATTCTGCCTATTTGGGGTATTGAACATAGAAGGGTTTGCAGTGGCCTCCTAGGGACTGTGGCTTCCTGCTTTGCTTGCAACCCCTGTCACATACAGAGTAAGTTGGAGACTGGAGGAAACAGAGGTCAACTTTTGGCTAAAGGATACCCAGACTGCAACTGGGACCCTCCTAAGCCTGGAACTCCAGGGAGCTGGGAGGGAGGGTCCAGGGAGAGAAAAAGGGAGGCCTCCTGGGGAAGTCAAGAGGCCACAACCCAAAGGGATCACCCCTTCCCCTACTAGGTACAGGACTCGTGCGTGTGTGTGTGGTGTCAGAACAGGCTCTTACTGCTTACCCTGTGCAAGGCATGCTTCCTAGACTTAACAGAAATAGTTTATTGAATTCCCCACTGTCGTCACCTGTGAGGTCTCCATTATGGTTATCCCCTCTGCACAGGACACGGAAGAACAGACAAGTGAAGGGACTGTGGAGACACACGGCTGGTAAGTGTGCCTGGACTCATGACCTTAGGAGCCAGAGCTGGCACAATGCTATCACACTGGCCTCGGTGCTGCTCTCAGGGCACTGCCCTGCCGTGTGCAACCAGACGCAGAAGCTGGGAGGGTCTGATACCAAGGGCGCAGCCAGCCCAGGGGCAAGTACAGGAGCAGCGACGCTTACCCGGGGTTTCCAGCCCGTACTTGCCTACACTCAGAGTGGGACCTGGGGCACCTGGAGCAGCATTCCTGGCTATGACTGAGGCCGGGGCCAGGGTTCCCACTGCTATGGGCTATGAGCCTGTCATCCTTCAGCCCTGGGTGCTGGGCTCTGAGTGCCCGTGTGGAGCACTCGGCAATTCAGCCTGGATTCCAGCCAGACTCCGGCCAGCCCAGGACCTACCTCAGTGAACAACACCCTGGGCCTGATAACCACCACATCAGCGCTCTTTGTGTGGGGTTATGACACCCAGACTTAGCAGAGTAGGGCCTGACCTGGGGCATCTGACTGCAGCCTCCGAGCCTCGCTGTCCTCCGGTGAAACAGATAACGGGGTGTCTTCCTGGGTGAGGCTTCCTAAAGATTTCGGCCAGGCCTCCTGTGGCGCTGACTGCAAGCAGGAGCTGCTGGGCCTGAACTAGCAGAGCTCGCTCCGCCGACCTCCTGGGCAGTTACTACTGTCCTCTCCCAATGAGAAAACAAAGTGCCCACTTTCCAGCGGGGCCATGACAATCACAGCCGGGTTCTGCACCCCGACTGTCTCCAGCCCTGCCCCTCCTGCTGCCTGAGTGAGCTGAGTCTGAGGTGGTCGTGGACAGCAGACGCCCACCTGTCTCTGCCCTGTAGTGTCGCCCTGTGAGCTGCGTCATGGAGAGAGTGACCAGGGCCCTTCTCCTGCTGGCTGGTGAGTTCCTCAGCCCCTCGGTGGGCCCTCCTCCCTTCACCCATCTCCAAGAAAGGGAAGAGCAGACAGCACCTTCTAAGGGGCCTGGAGTGCCATCAGTGTGATTGTGTTGAGATCGTCAGTTCACAGAAGTACACTGAGGATATGACGTACAGGTAGAATGCTGCATTGCAATAGCTGTCCTTACTGTTCCTGAGTCATTGAACTGTGGAAAACTGTGGCATGAAAAAATAAAGCATTCTTGGGAATCAGTGGTTGGCATAATGGCTATGTTGCTGGACTCCCATGTAGTTGACCACGGTTCGAGTCCTGGACCTGGTGGCTTAAACTCATGCCGGGCGCGTATGCGTGCATGCCCAAGATCCTGAGAGGAGAATGGAGGAAAAGGGATTGCAGCGTGGCCATCCCCCCTGGGGCATGATTTCTCGCTATCTGTCTCTTTGTCTCTGTCTTTCTGGCTAGCACACACACCCTATAGCAAAAAACTAGGGGAAGAAAAAGCATTCCTGAGTGGGGAGGTGAAGGAAGCTTCTCAGGAAGGGGAAAAAGACACCAGTTTTTCACCCCTTCCTGAACACAAGAACAGCTGGCAACCTGGGGACCAGGGAGGGCTCTGGGTGGTTGGGAGTGAAATGTCTGGCCTTGGGGCTGGGAAAGTCTCAGCAGAGCCACTAGGGTCACCTCTGTAACCTGTCAGAATCCTATGCTGGACTCATCTAGACACCAGAGCAGGAGTGACCACTCCTTCCTGTTTCTCCCCTAGGCCTGCCTGCCCTAAAAGCCAATGACCTATTGGGTGAGTGAGGCCCCCGTGCCTGCTGCAGCACTCCACACGGCCCTCTAAGCCCCACACCCTTCTGCAGGGTCTGGCCTCATTCTCTCGTGTTTCTTTCCTGCAGATAAAGACAGCCCCTTCTACTATGGTAAGAGCTGTGGCCTCCCACCACACCCCCACCCTTGCCTGTCCTGAACCTCTGCCAGACAAGCTGGGAAGTGTAGACAAAGTGGGGTAGGGATGGACCTGCTCCTTGGGAGTGTCTGTGGGACCTGCAGGGAGGCTGACAGAGGGGACAGGAGGCCTGGGCTGCAGGCTGGCATCCCCACCCCCCACTCCTCCTCCCCTCTGCTTCTCCAGGACCCAGTCCCACAGGCTTTCTGGTCCTCTGCAGTCCCAGGTCTCCTCTGGGCCTCAGTTCCACTGCCACCTTTCAGGAAAGCTCCCCGAGCTTTCTTCAAAGCCCCCTTTCTCTGCTCGCCTGCCTTTATTCTTTACTCTACAATGTATCCATTTAGTGGTGCGCCTCTCCCTCATGGCCTGGATCAGAAGCCCTGTGTATTTACCGGGCGCCGTCTAGCACAACCAGGTGCTCCCAAGCAGAGGGCACATCAAAAAGTTCCTAGAAAAAAGGATTGAACTGTGAGTGTATTTTGAGGCAAACATTCCAAAATAAATAAATAAATAAATAAAATCCAGGCATATACTATGCACATTCCTCAAACTTTTTGAAGCCCCTAGTATCCCTGGACACAAGTGAGGTGGTCCCAGACTGGCTGAGCTCACGCTGCCCCCACCCACAGATTGGGAGAGCCTGCAGCTGGCCGGGGTGATCTGCGGAGGGATCCTGGGCGTCGCTGGGATTGCTATAGCCCTGAGTGAGTGGTGGCCTGGTGGGAAAGTGAGAGGGAACGGATGCTCGGGCTGGGGGTCACCCATTTCTTCTTCTGCAGGTGGCAAATGCAAGTGCAGGCATGACCAGGGGCACAGGTAGGGCAGGCCCTACTGTGACAACCTCCAGCTGAGCAGACCTGGGGTGGGCGGTGAAGGACTTGCACAAGGACAGTGTCCTGGCTGCCCCCTGGCTTTGCAGAGGGATCTGTTGTCCTCAGGTTATCAGCCCTGAGGGCCCCTCAAGTGCCCTTGGAACAGCAGTGAGCTGTCCTGGGGGGTGGGGAGGAGCACCAGGAGTTGAGGGCAGATGACACTCATCTGATTCCTTTCTCCAGTCCCTTAGCTGAGAAAGCCACCCCATTCATTGCTCCAGGTGAGAGGAGCCTATGGGGCTGAGGGCGGGGACTGTGTAGGGACCATGACTGAGGACCTGCCTCCTCTCTGCAGGCTCTGCCAGCTCCTCCTGAGCACGAGAACATCGCCCAGGAGCACACGCCCACTGCTGCCTCTCCACTGGGACCTTACCTTCTGGGACAGTTTCTATCCCAAGGCTGGGTGGCCCTGATCCCTCTTGATCAGGAAGCTAAGGCTGATGTAGAAATTAAAAGTCAGACAGCTCACTCTGGTGGTCTTGTGAGCCTCTGGGGCCTGGTGGGGGAGGGCAGGGGTGCCCAGGGTGTCTTGTGGATTGCTGCTGCTCCTGTGTCTGGAGGCCACTCTCCAGAAAGCCATGTCCCATGGCGCCATTCCAGGCAACTCCACTGGGACCTCAGTGAAACACCACAATGCTGTATGAGAAGACCTTGTCATTTATAAGCATGCCTTGTGACCATGGGAGTCCTGATGACCAGAGACCAAGATGTCTCATCCTGTAGGGTGACTTCAGTGGCTCATTCTGCTGAGACCTCACCAATTCCTTCATCGATTCATCCAAATAAAAATGCCTTAACTGTCCCCAAACCATGGGAGGCCCTTCAGGTAACATCCTGTGAGACTCCAGCAGTTTTGCACCTAAGAAGCCTGCATAGTGCATTCAGAACCAAGAACAGTTTGTAGTAACCTGAGATCCCTGTCACATGCACCCGCAAGGGTACGCTGGCATGTCTAGCACTACAGGATAGGGGTATGGCAGTGCCCCTTCTTCTGCCTGGCCATCCTGTCACCCAGGTGGAAGGAAGTGAAATGCCCTGTTATAGAACAAGGCCAAGGCCAGTAGGGTGAAAGATATCCACTTGTCCAGGAAGCAGCTTCTAAAGTAAGGCCAGAGTCTGGGCTGATAGGCGCTCTGCTTCAGGCCAGCTATCAGGTTGCACTCCACATCTCAGGGGGACCACCCCTTTGACAAGAGTGTCCTGGGTTCAGGTCACCAGACTCATGGGCTTGGTCAGAAGCCAGTGCAGGGCTCTGAGGGGGAAACTGAAGTTCAACTGCTCAGGTCTTGGAAGCACTACACAGTAAGGGGTGAGGGGGAAGAGTTCCAAGGTGGGGCCCGATGGGACTCAAGCCCTGCTGATGGCCTAGCTGCAGTCCTTGAGAGCCCTGGTGAGTGGCATGAGGTCCAGCTGCTTTCTCTTCTGCTGATCCCCCAACGCCCGCAAGGCACCAGCTCTTTGAGCCACAGGGTGATGCTCCTGCACTGGGTGCTGCCCGGGCAGCACAGGGAAGTCCAGGCAGGAGTGGGCATTGCAGTTGAGTCCTTGGAGGTGAAGGGTGAGGGTGCAGCTCCAAGAACCCTGGGAACCCTGGCAGTATGCAAGTGACCTAGGGGACAGTGGTCTTCTTGCTCCTTGTGAAAGTGTGGCTGGAATAAGGCGACTAGATCCATTAGGAGGTAGCTGGTACTGCAGGGAGAACAGCTCTCCCTGTGAGTATGGAACCTCCTAGGGTTGGGGCGGGGTGTCATGAGAAGACAATTGTTTCCACCACAGCCCGGGGTGGGGGCACTGATCAGAGGAAGGCGGAGCAGGCAAAATGCAGCTTAACACACTTTCTGCCCCAGGGAGTAGGTGCAGAGTCCCTGTCTTCCAGAAACACGAAAATACCAGGACACTGGTGTCCATGGACTGCATAAGAGACCAGAAAAAAATGACACCTAAGAAAGCCAAGTCTAGAGTGACAATGGAAAACAGGAAAACAGTCATTCAGGGAAGAGGAAGCTAATGAAACTTTCTGATAAGTTACTCTGTTCTCAGCAACCCGTTAAGATGGGGACTCTAAAGTCCTCTGTGCCTAAGAGACTTGAGGTCCTCACAAAGTGCACAAGCAGCCTCAGGCAGTCTCGCCAAGCATCAAGGAATGGGCTCTGTTCCCTTTCTGATGCATCCCTAATGGAGTTACCTCAAGGCTGCTTATTACTGAGTATTGAACTTATTTAAAAAATCCATTTTTTCTGATTGAAGATATCACTCATCTAAATTGCAGAAAACTTGAACATTACACCCAAATAAATCGATTTCTAATTCACCTAATCACTGTTGTTTGATAATATAGTGACTCAGGGGAAGGGCTGGGCTCTGGGCTTCTATCAACTTGGCTGGCAGGTCTCTGATCTAGGGTGCTACAGGACAAGGGGTAGGGAGAGAAAGGCCTTGCAAGGATGCCTCTGTATTTTTCTGAGGAAATAAATTCAAAATTAAAAAGAAAACAAAACAAAAACAAAACTAAAGGGCCAGCAAGTGGCTTGTAGGTTAAGGTGCTAGATCCCACATTGCTAACTGCATGATTAGAGTCCCAGATCTGGTAGCTTGAGAAACATGTCAGATGTGTGTACATGTGTGCCCAAAATCCCAGAATGAATGCAACCCCCATTGGTGCGTTCTCCCTCCCTCTGGTGAGACACATGTCCTACAAAAATTAAGAAACTGATTGTCTTTCAGATCTTTCCTGTCTTTGTACCTTGATAAATGAACTTGTTTTCTGACACAAACTCAAGCTGTTGATTTAGAACCCAAAGATAAACACTAAGGACTTTTTTACTGACTTAAAACTCGTACTTTTATTGTTTTCTTGTATGGTAGGTTGCCACATATCAAGTTCTGAACTTTATAATCTACTAAACAGATCAATGTTGCTATTTGTACAGTTGAGCCATTTCTCAAATAAAAACAGAAAGACAAACCAAAAAAAAAAAAAATCAAACCAATCAAAAAAAAAAACCCATTAAATGGCAAGCTTACACATCCTATAGCAAAAATCTCTCAGAAACAAAAATGTTATGGGACCAGCAGATGGCATGATTACATCGCTGGACTCCCATATTATTGACCAGTCCGAGTCCTGGACCTGGTGACTTAAGCCCATGCCAGGCACATGCTTCAAATCCCCAGAGAACAGCTAAGAGTGGATTGCAGCATGGCCATGGGGGTGGGGTGGGGGGGTGTGATCTGTTGCTTCCTCTCTGGCAAGTGCCCTACAGCAAGAATCACTTTTAAAAATGGCCAACCACAGTTCAAGTCCTGGACCTACTTGCTTGCTTTTTAACTCTATCCAGTCAGAAATTAAAATAATTTTTAAAAAGCAGTATCTAGGCAAGCAGGTTAGGTATGGTGATTGAAGTAGCTGGAAGCCACACGGTCAATTCCAACAACTGGAGTCCTGGCTGAAAAATTATGGTGGTTCAATGTGTGTGAACACCCCAAATCTCAGGGTAGAGATGTGAAGGAATTGCAGCATGGCCATCCACCATGGTAAGTATCTCACTTATCATCTCTCTGCAAGTTGCCCTATAGCAAATTACAAAGGCCAGCCCTAATAAGGTCTGGTGACTAAGGGAGTCAGATACCATATAGCAGACCCTGCAGACTGCTAGCCCTAGTGGATTGAGAAACATACCTGCCACCATGCATGTGGGCATAACAAAGTCCCACAGGAGAGATGGAGGGAATTGCAGGACCACATAACCACAGGAGGTTACCTTCCCCTCCTCCATTATCTCCCTCTGGCAAGCATGTGTTCTGTGGCAAATTTAAATTGGTTTCAATTGATGGAATTGATAGCAAACTCATCTGATCCTTGGCCCCAGGAATCTATTTGTCCTCTCCCTATGCTGCTACCACTCTAAGAAGAGCTATGATGGCATTTGTGATGGAAGGGAGGGGTGGCTTGCACTTGTTAGACAGGTATAGACAGGGAGAAAGCAAATGTGGCATGTGATGGCTCTGGAGACTTGGTTCTGTTCTAGAAGTAAAGATCCCAATGTAAGCTAAACATTTCTCTTCTACTCCCTGCTCACTCCCCTTTGGGATTTTAATTCAAGCCATACTCTGGCTAGCTGTCCCATAGATGCCCTGGGCAATAGTCCATTAGCTTCAACACAGATCAAGGCTACACAGGGTTCCCAGTTGTGTATTGTGGCAATCACACTGACCTCCTCCTGATTGCCACCACCTGCTGACAAGATTTGGGGTCTTTTTCTCCTTACTGCCAACCTTGCCTGAAAGCAAAATTCCATTAAGCTTCTCAAAATGCTAGGGGCCCTCACTATAGTGCAGTCATTCATTTAGTGCTGTCCTTGGGCCCTTCCAGGAACACCAAGTGGCGTCATTCTCTGGCACTAGACAATCTCTACTCAACCCTTATCTTGCATCAGTCTGTAGGTCTTGTCCACACATACTAAACAGGCCCTGTAGTTTCCTAAAAAGGCCACTTCCTTTGGTAGGAAGGACTCTTCCATATGATGTCAATAGTTTTCCAGAACAGACATCAGCAGAGGCCAAGAGTACTTTAAAGTTTTTTGCCAAAATGCAAAAAATTCTTTATTGGTGAAACTTGTCTACTAGAAAGAATGGAAAGTCTTTGGGTCAAATTGGTTAGAAATCCATGCATCTGTAACTACTCTGTTCCAGGGCCATACACATACAGGTAGCAACCTGGGCTTAGGACATGAGCCAGACCTCCCAGGAGGACAAGTACCACTTCTGAGACCACTTACCACAGGTGAGGTCTTGGTGGTGTCTTTCTTCTAAGTGAGGTGGTACTCTTACTGGCCAGATTCTAGGGTCACCTTGAGGTTTCAGGTTACCTACTACATTCTCCCATATTTCCCACCTCAGATTCATGCACGCTCGGAGATCCCAACATTCTATGAAATCTGAGGTCAGATTCTCATTCCAGTCCCCCCAGTCCCCATCAATGATAAGCAGGATCTCCAACAACCTGATTTCCTTATGGTGTACTGCTGCCTAGAACTTGGGAACATGGCAGTTGGGTCCAAGGACAACAGATCCTGTAAAGGCGAACTTAACAGGGGCCCAGTCACTTGCTCTCTTCTAGATCCCCTTATGCTGCCTCCCAGTTTTAGCAGCTCACCCTCCATCTCTCCTTGCACCTCTGACATCCCAAAATGCCTTGGTTGAGACCTGAAGAGGCAGAACACTGGCAGTAAGGCTGCGTCAATGAAGCCCAATGAGTTCAGAAAAAGGGAAGACTCAGCTCTACTGTCACATCAACTGATTTCTAATAAAAACCTTCAGGGGTTTAACTAGGAACACTAACTACCCAAATGCCAGAGGGAGATCCTGACACTGGTTAAGATGAGAATATCTAGGTTACATTCACCATGTGGCTATTAAGTAAGGAAACACAGGCCAGAAAAACCACCAACGGTAATTATCAATTCTGCACAGGATGCTTTTTCTTATAAACTCCACCCACATTCTAAAGTCTAGGTTTACTTATTGTCAGCCCCAAGGTTAAAAATGACAATATGGTGCATGCAGGTGCCTGGAATTAGACACTACTTTCCACTACATGTGGATAGTAACAGTTCAGGCACAACATGGAAACAGGTATTGAGTGCTAATAAGCTTATCCTATAATCTGTCATTTAATCCAGGAATGCATCCCATGGATAAAACTAAGTGTAACAAAACTTCAGTGTTTTCACAAGTTACCTACAAACTGTGGTTCCTGGCCTTGATGTTTTAAACATTACTCAAAAAGAATGTTTCTAAGTCATGAATGGCTATGCCCTTAGCATCAAGGGAGGGAGGATGACAATAGGAATTATCTAGGAAAGGGTGCAGGGTCAGTAGATGATGCAGAGGTTGAGGTAGCTGGATCCCACATAGTACTGCAGTATGAGTCCAGAATCCAGCAGCTTGAAAAACACACCAAGCATGTGTGTCCAAAATCCTGGGGGAAGAAGGGACTGTGGCATGGCCATGCACACTGAGAGATTTTTTACTTCTGCCTCTATGGCAAGTCCCAGTACCAATAGCAAACTAAAAAACAAAACCACGGCGCATAAGTGGTTAGGACAAGTGCTTCTACGTCGTTATCACTCAGGCTTGTGTCCAGTCACCATCTCCACCATTCACAAATTTAATATTTTTCTTAGACTTTATTTTAGCCTCATTGTAAGAATAAGGGAAATCATAGATTTGATATACTAAACTTTTTGAAATTGACACTAAAGTACATTGAGAATTATCTTAGATCACCCACTTTACTACCTTTTGCTGAGTAGATAATCTGTGCCAGTCATTGTGAAAAAGTCTTTATTTTAAGAAAAAAATTTAGTTAACAAAAAATTTAACAAGTTTCACTTAGCAAAATACACCCAAAAGGAAAGCACAGTACAAAGAAAGTTTAAGTCAAGGCCTCACCAATTCCTACAGTATTAGTATTGTGTCTCAATTCTCAAAACTAACTTTTAAAAAGCTTAAACTTAACCTAAAAGATCTTAAGTGAAAATATAAACTAGAATGAACAAACATGAGAAATGTTTCTCTTTGAATTGGGGATCTAGCACCTTTGAGTTTTCCAAAAGAGCCCATCTCCCCAAGGTGTTCACTGCGATGTGGTGTAAAAGACCCACATTTAACATACTCAAACTACTTTAACTCAGAGAACATCACTCAGAATCTACTACCAAAATGTTAATTGAGAAAAGCTGAAAATAGTTTTAGTTTACTCAGTATCACATGCTAGAAGAAAACTTTGCATGAGAAAACACTGAAGAGGTAATCTTTTAATCCAGATTTCACAAACTCATGGTGCAAAAATGGGTCCCACAGCTTCTTCTAGAGTTATAACTGCTTGTCACTGCTTGTTGGCTGCCTCTGAGAATTTGATTCAAACAAATCACACGTTCCTACAAAACTAGTCGTATCCAGCCATGCTGTTTTGACCACTGTAGCTGGCCCCGTAACAGCCACTCACTGACTGGCTCTCCAGACCACTGTAAGTGGCCTGGGCTGCTGACACCCCCATGCCTTGCATCACCTGGCTGCTATAAGCCCCATTGCTGGCCCCCGTGGTCGAATTCAAGAATAACTCTATGTATCTGTGCTGCATGTTGGCCCTATCTTTGGACATGGCTGCCACAGCTTCTTCGTGGGTGGCAAACTCGACATCCGCTTCACCTGTCACTCTTCCATCAGGGCCGATCTCAATATGAACTCTCACAGGGTTGAGTGGAGAGAAGAAGTTGTAAATGTCGTTCTCGGTGGCCTTGTACGGCAGCCCCCTCATGTGGACACAGTGCCCAGTGGTGCTCTGCACTGTGAACTCGCCGTCTCCGTATCTGTGGTCATACATTCCCGAAAGACAATAACTGAGGTCTCTTCCAAACATGTCGGTGGTGAAGCCGTAGCCATCACTGAGGCCACTGTACTCCTCGTAGCCTCCGTAGCCTGCACTGTAGGCCCCAGGCCTCATCCTATCCAGGCCTGCTTGCTTCACAATGCCAATATATCTTCTGGCAGTGCCAGGCCGGTCATAGGGCCCCGGCCGCTGCACGGACATGAACTTCAGAGGGGGATCTGAATAGGACCTGACTTCCTCCTGACTGCTCTTGAACACTTCAATATACCTGTGCCCTATTCTCTCCTTGTGCTTCCCTAGGGCCTTCTCTGCTAACTCCTGGGAGGCAAACTGCACAAAAGCTTCCCCTGTAATCTTGCCTTCCGGGTCCACAGGCAATGTGATCCCGTTTGGCACGATTTCTAGCCCTGAGAAGAACTGAACAATTTCTTCCTTTGTGCATCCAAATGGGAGTCCTCGAAGGCGCACGAAGCCATCATTGGCGCTGTCAGCGCTGTTTGGACCACTGTGCTTCAACACCCAATCCATTTCGGTTCTGTGGGACTTGAACACCTCAATGTACCGGTGTCCCATGCTTTCCCTGTCTTTTTTCAGGGCCATCTTTACATCTTCTTCTGATTCAAGCTCAACAAAAGCCTCACCACTCTGCCTGCCTTCTCTAGTGTAGATGAAGTGGACACCTGCAGCCCCATCATGAATTGTGCAGGTGGAGAGGAAGTTCTGCACATCCTCAATAGAGCAGGACCAAGGCAGGCCACGGAGCTTGACCACAAAGCCTTCACCTCCCTCAGGGCCCAGCATCATGGAAACTTGACAGGGCAGATGTCAGAAAAGCCTGGATGTGGCTTTTTGAGGCTGAAAAGGAAATGATAATAAATAAATAGTTTCCCCTATATTTTACATCAGGAAGGAGTTAAAAAGCACCAAACACACGTGAGTGAGATTCAATCCCAGTTCTTTCCCCCTAAAAGAGACATAAAAATCATTTAGAACCGATTTTTTATAACCCATAATACCACTTTTTTCTCCTGGATTTCTATATCTCCTATGAAATCACCATATCCGATCTGCCTCCCTACACACTGCTGTCACCAGTAACTTCAGAAATCTATGAGTTCAGCAG